ACGTACACTGTGGTAGACCCTGGGAGTCCCAAGTACACTGCTGTGGTCCCTGGGAGTCTGAAGTACACTGTGGTGGTCTCTGGGAGTACCAAGTACACTGCGGTGGTCCTTGGGAGTCGCAAGTACACTGTGGTGGTCCCTGGGAGTCCCAAGTATACTATGGTGGTTCCTGGGAGTCCCAAATACAGTGTGTGGTCCCTGGGAGTTCCAAGCACACTGTGGTGGCCCCTGGGAGTCTCAGGTACACTGTGGTGTTGCCTGGGAGTCCCAAGTACACTGTGGTGGTCTCTGGGCATCCCAAGAATACTGTGGTGGTCCCTGGGAGTCCGAAGTACACCGTGGTGGCCCCTGGGAGTCTCAAGTACACTGTGGTGGTCCCTGGGAGTCCGAAGTACACCGTGGTGGTCCCTGGGAGTCTCACATGCACTGTGGTGGATCCTGGGAGTCTCAAGTACACTGTGGTGGTCCCTGGAAGTCCCAAGTACACTGTTGTGTTTCCAGGAAGTCCCAAGTACACCGTGGTGGTCCCTGGGAGTCGCAAGTACACTGTGGTGGACCCTGCGAGTCTCAAGTACACTGTGGTACTCTCTGGAACTCCGAAGTACACTGTGGTGGTCCCTGGTAGTCGAACGTACACTGTGCTGGTCCCTGGAATTCCCAAGTACACCGTGGTGGTCCCTGGGAGTCCCACGTACAGTGTGGTGGTCCCTGGGAGTCCCAGGTACTCTGCGGTGATCCATGGGATTCCCACGTACACTGTAGTGGTCCCTGGGAGTCCCACGTACACTGCGGTTGTCCCTGGGAGTCCCACGTACACTGTGGTGGTCCCTGGGAATTCCACGTACACTCTTGTGGTCCCTGGGAGTCCAATGTACACTGTGGTGGTCTCTGGGAGTCCCAAGTACACTGTGGGGGTCCCTGGGACTACGAAGTACACTGTGGTGGTCCCAGGGAGTCCTCAAGTGCACTTTGGTGGTCCCTGGGAGTCCCAAGTGCACTGTCGTGGTCCATGGGAGTCCCAAGAACACTGTGGTGGTCCCTGGGAGTCCCAAGTACACTGTGGTGATCCTTGGAAGTCCCAAGAACACTGTGGTGGTCCCTGAGAGTCCCAAGTACACTGTTGTGGTCCCTGGGAGTCCCACGTACACTGCGGTTGTCCCTGGGAGTCCAACATACACTGTGTTGGTCCCTCGGAATTCCACGTACACTCTGGTGGTCCCTGGGAGTCCCATGTACACTGTGGTGGTCTCTGGGAGTCCAAGTACACTGTGGTGGTCCCTGAGACTCCGACGTACACTGTGTTGGTCGCAGGGAGTCCCAAGTGCACTGTGGTGGTCCATGGAATCCCAAGAACACTGTGGTGGTCCCTTGAAGTCCCAAGTACACTGTTGTGATCCTTGGAAGTCCCAAGAACACTGTGGTGGTCCCTGAGAGTCCCAAGTACACTGTTGTGGTCCCTGGGACTCCGAAGTACACTGTGGTGGTCCCTGGGAGTCTCACGTGCACTGTGGTGGTCGCTGGGAGTCCCACGTACACTGTGGTGGTCCCTGGGAGTCTCAAATACACTATGGTGGTCCCTGAAAGTCCCAAGTACACTGTGGTGGTTCCTGTAAGTCCCAAGTACACCGTGGTGGTCGCTTGGAGTCGCAAGTACACTGTGGTGGACCCTGGGAGTCCAAAGTACACTGTGGTACTCTCTGGGAGTCCCAAGTACCATGTGATGGTCCCTGGGAATACCAAGTACACTGTGGTGGTCCTTGGGAGTCCTAAGTACACCGTGGTGGTCCCTGGGAGTCCCGTGTACACTGTGGTGATCCCTGGAAGTCCAAAGTACACTGTGGTGGTTCCTGGAAGTCCTAGGTACACTGTGGTGGTCCCTGAGAGTCTGAAGTACACTGTGGTGGTCCCTGGAAGTCCCACGTACACTGCGGTGGTCCCTGGGAGTCCCACGTACACTGTGGTGGTCCCTGGGAGTTCCACGTACACTGTGGTGGTCCCTGGGAGTCCCAAGTACACTGTGGTGGTCCCAGGGAGTCTCAAGTACACTGTATTGGTCTCTGGAAGTCCCAAGTACACTGTGGTGGTCCCTGGGAGTCACAAGTACACTGTGGTGGTCCCTGGGAGTCCCAAGAACACTGTGTTGGTCCCTTGGATCCCAAGTACTTTTTGTGGGGTCCCAAAATGGGAGTTTTCAGAAAGTACTCTGTGGTGGACCCGGGGAAAGAAGCCTTTCCCGACCCGTGCACTCTGCTGGTCCCTGGGAGTCCCACGTACACTGTGGTGGTCCCTGGAAGTCCCACGTACCCTGTGATGGTCCCTGGGAGTCTCATGTACACTGTGGTGGTTCCAGGGAGTCCCAAGTACAATGTATTGGTCTCTGGGAGTCCCAAGTACCATGTGATGGTCCCTGGGAATCCCAAGTACACTGTGGTGGTCCTTGGGAGTCCTAAGTACACCGTGGTGGTCCCTGGGAGTCCCGTGTACACTGTGGTGACCCCTGGAAGTCCATAGTACACTGTGGTGGTTCCTGGAAGTCCTAGGTACACTGTGG